GACTAGTGGGGCTGCAGCGGCTGGCCTTTGGCACCCGGGGTCGTTGAAAAAGCCGGCGGCGCAGCCCCTGCCCTTGCCTCCCCCGCGCCTCACCCGGCCGCGTCCAGTCAGCGCGCTTGACCGGGCGAGGGAAGGAGAAGCCCCTTCGGGCGCCGCCGTCATGTCGCAGCCGGGGAAAGGCAAAAAGCACCCCGCCAAGGGGGACAGAGCGGTAAGAAGCGGGGCGGGGGCGCGGGCGGGCAGTCGAGGCTGAAAGCCCGTCGGGCTGGAAAGCGAATTTCTTCCCCCCTGCTTTTCCCCGCGAGGCGAGAGGCCTGCCCGCCCAAGGCTTTTCAGCCGCGGAAGGAGGGGAAGGCGGGTGGGTGGGGAGGCGGGTGTCTCGGGGCGAAGGAATCCGCCCGCGCCCTTTGGGGCAAGAAGGCGGGGGCGACAAGGAGGGCTGTGGGGCAACCCGCCGCCGCTAGACCAGGGCCGAGTGGGGCGAAGCGGCTCCAGACGAGTCGGAAAAGTTGGCAGTGCGTTTGAATTGTGCGGCTGGTTGTGCGCGCCCAGGCAGGGAACTGATAGGACTCGCGCCGTGAATCGAGCCCAGCGTGTCACGCGCGAGGAGAGGATCGAGCCCCCGAGACCCTCGCTCGTTAGCTCAGGACGTCTCCCCCCCACTTGCGACCTCCCTGCCTGGAACGCGGAAAGCAGAAGTGAACCGCCTGCCCTCGCAGAAGGGCGAGTCTCTGGGTTTGCCCTCGCCAGATGTTTTGGACTTCAACTCCCACAATCCTTTTATTCGCGGCCATGCTCGGTGGGGGCTGGCGTGGAAGCTATCTGGAGGGCCCACGGTTCCTCCCCTACAGTATTTCTGTTGCGTGTGCGGGTGGGGAGAGACATTGGCAGCCCATCGGCGGCGTTAAAGTTGATTCCGTGCTAACCCGCGGAGGGAATTCATCCCAGTCATGGGAATATGGACGGGAGGCAGCCTATCTGTGTCTGGATCAAGGGCGGGTGAAGTACAACTTTTCCGATGTTGTAAGAGTGGGCGATTCCTTCGATTGCACCACTAAAAATGAAAGTGCAAGCTTTCCTGGAGAAAATTACACATCTTCAGGCATATTTCATGGCTAGTGCTGAAAAACTGTACACAATTTTTGTACACAACTATGGGGTGTACGAAGCCTGAGGAAGTGAAACTTTCTCCACAAAGGCTTACAGTTTGATTTTTAGTGGTCCAATAAAAGGAATAACCCACTCTTACATTTGTGCAATTTGGGGGACCACATAGCTTTTCCCTTGTTCTTTCCAATGTTGTAGGTCGGCTACAACTTAACAGCATTCCTTCCCTTTATTGTGCTCGCTGGAAACTGCAGTCCAATGCCATCTGGTCTAGATTTAGGAATATTGGCCTGGAAGTCGTTGAGAGTACAGAACAGTTTCTAGCTGCTAGGAATTGTACAAAGCAATCCTATCACTTTCGTTTTATGGGTAGACATGGAAGCCCCATAGTATTTTCCCCTCCGAGGATGGCTGTGTGAAAAGAGGATCACTGACTAAATGTTGAATTCTTCAGGGGTACTTCTCTTTAATATGTTGCAACAGGGACTTTAAAAACTAAGCTGGTGTCCATGAATAGTTTATGCCTCATCAAGTTTGCTGGTTGTGGCAGTGAGGCAGGACACATAAACACTTCTCCATCTCCCTCTGTCCCTGCAATTCTGAACTGCAGGGGATCAAATTTATCCAGGAGACCTACCTTCAGTTGTGGATATAGTCCAGCTACTCCCAGATGTGTGGGGTTTGATCGTGCCACTGGAAGGCACTCTGTGTGCTGGGCGGTGTTCAGCTTTAATACTACTCCCATGTTGCAGGAATAAACCCTGGAACGTGTGCCTTGTATCATTCTTTGGCTCAAGTCAAGCTCTCTGGCGGTTGCATAAGGAACTTGTTTGTGGCTTAAATGGGCAGAGATGGCACTGACGCAGAATGCTACGGCCGGAAAATGAGAGGAAAGGATGTGGTTAAATGTTAGCTCTGTTATAATACAGAAGAAAGGTTTTGCAGTTTAGAGCTCTTCCATCGAGATGTTTTCTATTAGAAATTTACACCTTGGATGGAGAACAGAATGACCGTTGCAAATTCTAGCGATCAGAAGGGAAAATATGAGACAACACGCCTCTCGTGCTTGCAGGAACTGAGCCCCGAGCACGAAATCCGCTTTCCAAGGCAGTCAATCGAGCACGGAGCTTCAAAAAGGAGTCTCACTTTCTAGCGTCCGAAGGACGAACAGCCAGCCTCCACTTGGCTTGAGCGCAGTTCTCGCTCTGCGCCCCCGCAGAGAAGATTAACGCCAGGCTCGCAGAGGGCTGACCGTGCCCCACACCAGCCCTTGCCCGACTGACTCGCCCCCTCCGCTGCCTCCCTATCTAGCCCGCGGCTCTTGAGGGGGCGGCCCCGGCACGCCCCAAGCTCCTCCCCATCCACCGCGTGTCCCGCCCCGCTGGCGGGAGGCGCGTCTCGTAGTATAGGCAGGGGATAGCAATTGCTAAGTCGAACCCTGGAGGAGCAGCAGAGCAGTTCAGGATGGCGTTTGCAAGCTGGTGGTATGCCACGGTAAATACCTCTGGAGCAGACTGGTGGGTTGGTCTGCGCGTTGTTGCCTGTTTAGGTCTTGCGTGAGGAAAGAGTGTCAATCCGTTTAGATAAGGCTCAGTGGAAAAGGATAAAAAGACACACCTCTTGCCCAGGTTACACCGAGGATGCCTTTTCTCACACAACAGGAAGCTTCGCCCTGCGCTGGAATGCAGAGGGTCACAGAGCTAGCTGTTCTTGCAGGTTTTTTTTGTGCGGTTCTCACCTTTCCAGTATGGGAAAGGTTTGGGGTGTGTGATCGCTCATCAGGAAAAGAAAGTAGAGTGTTTCGGAAGGAAAAAGAACCCTTGTGGTTTTTCTGATCTTTGTTTATAAGGAACTAGATTCTTCTGCTCTCTGAAATGCATGTTAGGAAACCAGGAATTTTTTTGCAAATACTGTATGTGAAGTACTGTATAGTTCATCGTTTTTTACTGCAAAGGTGTAGAAGAAGAGGGTGTGTGGCTACTTGTATCAGCTGCTGATGTGAGCAAATGGCAGATTAACAAATCCGTGTGTGGTCTCAGGGTCTGGATCGGTTTTTTGGGTGTGCTTCTGAAGTACTGATAACACTTTTTTCTGTGTACTTCCTTATTATGGAAACTGCACATACAATCCATATTGAATTGAAATAGGATGTCAGGTCTACTGCTCATGTTGTGGCTGTGTTCTTGCTAAGTTTTCATAGTTTTTTTTTTTAAAAAATAGTTCTTTGTATTTCACTTTTTTTCTTGTAGTATTTTTGTAATCAGAATAAGAATAGTTTAAAGGTTTTCAAGACTAAGTAGCAATGCTAGTCTTCTATTTTGAGCAGAAACTTAACATAAAAGTGTTTCTTCAAATGTGTAAATTAGAACTAATAATATATATTCCTCATTGGGAGAAAGTTACTGAAGTTTTCTAACTTAGTGGAACATTCCCAAAATAAATTACATTTCTTTTCATTCAAGATGTTTTTGAACAAGCCTGCAATTACAATTTTTAAAGCCATCCATAAAATGTGTCATGCACATTGCAATAAATTTTTGTAAAAATGTGACTTGGTGTGGCTTGGCGGATTGTGCATCATACAAGATACGCATGTGGAAGCACATGTCTACTCAGTGGTACTCATCCTAATGGACTGACCCACTCTCCCCTATTTTGATAAGAGTCACACTAAAAGTGGTAGGAGTTACATGTACCTGTTTGTGCTGATTTCAGATAGGTTGGGGCCATGGGTATGAGTCTAGATTGCTAGATTGCTGATTTAAGAGTCAAGTCTTTATTTTCTTGTTGGATTGGGACATCTGTTTTATCATTCAGTAACATAGTAGAACTAACCTTTTTGTCAGTAGTGGCACTCAGAACACAGTCATGTGTATGTCTCCTCAGAAGTAATTCTGTTATGTTGAACAGGACTTTCTGCCTGGAAAGTGCATATAAAATTGCAGCTGTTCGAAACCCTCACAGCTAACTTCCTCAGGATGTTTTATCTGGGCCATTGGTTAGGATAATTTTGTCCTTTATTCCACTGATAATCTGTTTTCTGATTCAGTAGCTGGCTTATCTCAAATAAGGAATCAATTAGCAGGTGTAATTGAAAAGTGCTTACTTAGTGAAACTCTAATTAGGGTTTGGAATTCAAATAGAAGCATAATGATGCAGGTGTGCATTGAATTATACAAACTGTACTTTTGGGCAAGGTAACAAAAACCACCCAGAAGGCCTTTGCACATAAAAGTCATTGCAAAGCCTCTTATTAGCTTTAAACTCTCCAGACAGACATCTGAAGTGAATAATTATTCTTTAGCCTTGCTTAGGAAGATTTTACAGGAAAACCCAAATCTTGGACTTCTGCTTATGCAAAGTATCTGTAGTTGGAACAGCAAGCATCTGCAGGACTACATATTGAGTTTTGTATGTGCCCCACACTTTCATGAAATCAATAATCAAGTAGATTATAGATATGAGTCCAGAGTATGATTCAGTATCAGTAAATATCTTGTCAATATATTTACATCCATTGTGCCATTGCCATTAAAATAAGACTAATTTTGCTAGCTTAAACATCATAGTAAACCATGGTTTGTTGTTGTGGGAAGAAGCAAAGACAAACCTTAGTTTCATATGCACCCCTTTCCTCCATTAGGGTTATGAATATAAGTTTAAAATGGTTTCTGATTTCAACAGTTCACCATTGAAACAGACCAGAAATTGTACTCATTGTATGCTTTAATAAAACCAACCAGAATTCAGGATGCATGGTGTGAAGTTGGCCTGGACCATTGTAGAGATTAAACAGTTTGTTGCGTTCATAAGACTCAGTGCTGTGGTTAATAAAAAAACGAAGCTGAATGCTGACAAACTCTTCCTCTTGGCTCCCCTGGAAAAGAAGGGGAGGGGGAGAGAAGCATGCTGCCCATGGATCCAACTAAATTCTTTATATATCTATCTGCTTGTAAAGGGACAAAATCAGCAGTGTCATGGGCTAACCTGTTTTCCTCTCTTTTTTAAAGCTGGAATATATATTGCAGTATATTTTGCAGTAGTGAAGTTATAACAGTTCTTCATGATTGATTTTATTAGTGGGAGGGATAGCCTGAGAAGAAC